AACTCACCCAGTTGGCTTTCATGCCTAAAGTGAAACTAGAACTCACCATCTCCTGGTTATTGGCTCAAGCTCACTCAGCTGGCTTTCATGCCTAAAGTGAAACTAGAACTCACCGTCTCCTGGTTATTGGCTCAAACTCACCCAGCTGGCTTTCATGCCTAAGGTGAGACTAGGACTCACCATCTCCTGGTTATTGGCTCAAACTCACCCAGCTGGCTTTCATGCCTAAAGTGAAACTAGAACTCACCATCTCCTGGTTATTGGCTCAAGCTCACCCAGCTGGCTTTCATGCCTAAGGTGTGAGACTAGAACTCACTTGTCTCCTGGTTATTGGCTCAAACTCATCCAGTTGGCTTTCACAGCTAAGGTGGGACTAGAACTCACAGCCTCCTGCTTTTTAGCTTGGTGCCTTAACCACCAGGCCAAACTGGTATAGCATAAGGCAGTGATGGCTAACCTTTTTGTCGTCGTGTGCCGAAAATGTGCCTGTGCACCTGCACCCATAATGCAATGTCCATGCAACCCCCCCTCCATCCCTTGCAACCCTGTCCACTGCATGCACAGGCAGATACCCAACAATCAGCTGGTAGGCAGGGGGATGCGTGCATGCATTCTCAGGGGATTAGTTCCAGCCGACAGCTTGTGTGCTGGCAGGAATGGCTCTGTGTGCCACTTCCGACATGCGTGCCATAGGTTCATCATCATGAGTATAGGGTTTCCTGCTTAAGCAGGAGGTTGGACTAGAAGACCTCCAAGGTGCCTTCCACCTCTGTTATTCTCATAACAAAACAACAAAATAATAACAAAATAAGGGCTCTTGATAATAAAGAGCAAGAATTAGCCACAGCTTAATGTGTTAATCCAGCCCGTGATAGTCTCTTTGGAGTCTTCCTCTTAACATGACCATCAATGGTGTCTCCTGGTATCTTCAGGTGAGGCTGTTCTTGGAGTCAAACAATAGTGGAATATTTCACATGAGGAGTTCTCCACTCCTCTACTCGTTGTAGAATACCTTATGCCACCAGACTTGAAAGTCTAGACCTAGAAAACCTTGAATTACGCTGTCTTCAGTCTGATCTAAGTATAGTGTATAAAATCATACATTGCAATGTCCTACCAGTCAATGAATACTTCAGCTTCAACCACAACAACACAAGAGCACACAATAGATACAAACTCAAGATAAACCGCACCAAACTTGATTGCAGGAAATATGACTTCAGCAACAGAGTGGTCAATGTCTGGAATACTCTCCCTGACTCTGTGGTTTCTTCCCCAAACCCCAAAAACTTTAACCTTAGACTGTTTACTATTGACCTCACCCTTTTCCTAAGAGGTGGGCCTATCTTTTACGACAGGTACGGTGTCTTGCCACGATGACCCGTGGCGAATTTGGCTGCCAAAGGAAGTTGCCAATTTGAGCTCCTGGGACATAGACATTCTCGGTACGTGTGATCCTTTTTCAACTATTTGGACTCTTTGGTTTGAATTTATGCTTTTAGGAATGGGTTGCATCTGGAAGAGGAGGTGATTAAGAAAATAATGGAATATGCAGAAATGAGTAGATTGACATCAGCAATTAGAGAACAAGAAGAAAAAGTATTATAAAATTTGGGATTTATTTTATCAATGGCTAGATAGAAGAGTAAGAAATTGAAGTATATTATAATAGCAATGATATATTATAATTGATTATTTGTAAATAAGTTATACTATGAATATAATTTAGTAAGAATTGAGTTTTGCTTCTAAAGATAGCCCAGAAATAAAACTAAAATTTAAATAATAGAATAATAGTGAGATAATATGATATGGGATGTTGATTAGAATATAATATGAATGTAAAGTTAGGAGGAAAGGATTATAGATATTGTGCACATGATATGTATACCAAACCGACACACTGTATAACTGAACGATGGTTTTATTTGTTATTTGATATGTTATAAAAATAAACTTTTTTTTAAAGGAATGGGTTGTGTCTAACTCAAGGGTCCTCAAACTTGGCAAGTTTAAGACTTGTGGACTTCAACTCCCAGAATTCCTGAGCTAACATGACTGAAGGAGGAATTCTGGGAGTTGAAGACCACAAGTCTTAAAGCTGTCAAGTTTGAAGACCCCTGGCTTTAACCCTTTGGCTGGTTTTTCTACAGATGGCAGTGGGGATGACATGGAAGACTGCCGTTACCAAATTGACTACGGAAAGCAAGTGTTGATGGTTGGACACCAGAACTGTACTGAAATGGAGGTATGCCATTGTGAGGTGCTATGACTAATGTGGACTGGGGAATTCTGGGAGTTGGAAGTCCCCACATCTTAAAAGCTGCCAAGTTTGAAAAAACAAGAGGTCTCCAACGTGGCAATTTTAAGACTTGTGGACTTCCAACTCCCAGAATTAGGGAATTGGATGGTGTTGAAGTCCCCTAATCAGGGGTGGGATTCTACCAGTTCGCACCTATTCGCTAGAACCGGTTAACATTCTAAGCAGTTCGGAGAACCGGGTGTTAGAAGAAATTCCTGGCCTAATCCTGTAAGGAAGGCAGGAAGGAAACATTCTGGTGTTGCTTACAGAAACTGCCTCTCCGTTAACCCTTATTGCATTCTTGGCAGGACTAGACTTCCTGTCTCTGGAACTTCTCTGGAGTTTTTTTTTCCTCCTTTGCTGGTACTTTGCTTGTGTGGAGTGACCATTCAAAGTTACAATGGCACTGAAAAAAGTGACTTATGACCATTTTTCACACTTACGACTGTTGCAGCATCCCCACAGTCACGAGAGGCCAGACGAGGAGATGCGTGCCTCGATGTGAGTGATGTTGAGTTGGCCATGCCCAGCCAATAACATGACCACCAAGCCACATCCACCCAGTCACATGACCACCAAGCCACGCCCACCAACTAAGCCATGCCCACAGAACTGGTTGTTAAAATATTTGAATCCCACCCCTGTCCACAAGTTTTAATGTTGCCACGTTTGGAGATCCCTGGCCTATAGGATAAAGGGGTTGAACTCATGAACGAGAGAACCAAGCTAGAACTAAGCAGAAATGTCCAGACTGAACAATTAATCAGTGTGCTCCATTCCTTGGAGGTTTTTAAGAAGAGACTGGACTCTTGTCTGGTAGGGCAGTGGCGGCTAACCTTTTTCGGCTCCCGGGCCGATAATTGCGCTCACGTGCCAGCACCCAGAAGGCAATGCGTGCTGCCCCCCCCACGCCCCCTGCACATGCGCACCAGATACCTGACAATCAGCTGTTGGGCGGCGGCGCGCATGCGCAGTGGGGGCTCTTCCTGGCGACCTCTTGCGTGCCGGGGGAAATGGCTCTGCGTGCCACTTCCGGCACACATAGAACAGGTTTGCCAACATGGCTATAGGGATTCTTGCTTGAGCGGGATTTGGAGTAGATGACCTCCACTCAGTTAGCCTGTTCTGCATTTTGTTTAAATGCAGAAAAAGGGGTTTAAATAAAAGGCACAAAAAATGGGCTAATTTTCAGAGCTTAAGCAAAATTTGAACAGGCTGAAGCAATGGTGTCACTTTGGTAAAGGTTCCCCTCGCACATCCGTGCTAATCGTTTCCGGCTCTAGGGGGCGCTGCTCATCTCCATTACAAAGCCGAAGAAGAGCCAGCGCTGTCCGAAGACGTCTCCGTGGTCATGTGGCCGGCAGGACTAAACGCCAAAGGCGCACAGAGGAACTCTGTTCCCTTCCCACCAAAGGGGTCCCTATTTTTCTACTTGCATTTTTTAACGTGCTTTCGAACTGCTAGGTTGGCAGAAGCTGGGACAAGGAACGGGAGTTCACTCCATTATGCGGCGCTAGGGATTCGAACCGCCAAACTGCCGACCTTTCTGATCAACAAGCTCAGCGTCTTAGCCCCCGTGTCCCTTATGTGTCCCCTATGTCACTTTGTGGACTGGCCAAATGCAAATCAATAATAGGCTTTGTTGGACTTGTTGGAGTGGCTAACTCTTCAGTAAAGCAATCATCTACTCAAGAAGTTGCTCTCCAGGAATTCACAGCTTTGTTGGATGGGGTCTTTCTGCGGTTTCTATCCCCAGGATAACAAGCCGCGCCTGAGATTCAGGTTGCAGTTCAACGCTACTGAGGGAGTTCGACCCCAGAATGAAACTTACAGCGTAGACTGCGACACCTTCCAGGCTGATGAAGCGTCATCCGACAATGGTTTTGCCAGCGCTACTACAAACTGCACCAAAAACGTCATGGCAGTAAGTGTGAAGGGCATCCCTCTGCTGAACACCTAATTCCCAAGAACTGTCTTATGTATATTTAGCCATGTAATATGGCTTTTTTGCTTTTATCTTCCTCATCTTTTCTACCACCTTCTCGTATTAGTATTATTATGATTATTTTCTCTGTTGTTTTGCATGTAAACTGAGAGCTGCTGTACCAGAGACAAATTCCTTGTGTGTCTAATCCCACTTGGTCAAAGTATTCTATTATATTCTTTATATTTGTTCTCTCTTCTTTCTTTTATTCTCTCTTCTATTTCTGTTCTATATTCTATATTCTCTTTTATTCACTTCTCTGCTCTCCTATTCCCTATTTTATTTTCTCTCTATTCTACTCTCTCCTATTCTACTCTCTCCTATTCTATTCTCTCTTCTATTTCTCTTCTCTTCTCCTCTCTATTCTCTATTCTTTATCTTCTTCAATCCCTCTTTATTCCTCTTTTCTCTATTCTCTTTTATTTTGTGTTTGTTGCATGGCTTATGTTTTCTGTTGTACAGATAGTCCTTGACTTAAAACAGCTGATTTAGTGACTGTTTAAACTTTCAACTCAATTCTTTTGAAAGTATTGAACTGTTTTGCTATTCATGCTCACATCCAAATATCTTCCACTTGTAGGTTACATTCCCAAGGCTTATTCCCACTTTTCGGGATGAACTCATGGTATGTAATCCAACTTTCTCAGGCAAGCTAGTTGAATCGCGTTTACCAGTAAAATTACACTGGGGGGGGAGGAATCTATAATCTGCCCACATGACTGGCTCACATTATAACGATTTATTTGATTGCAGTTGAGCGTGTGGTTTAATCACAGCTATTGTCACAAACTGCGGCTTAGTTGGGAGAAAAAAATGAATCTGCATGATTTTAATTAGACTTGCTGATATATTTTTTCAAGCCTTCTAAATGTGTGCATTGGCTGATAATGAAAGCGCACAAATTAAGTCTGGGGTTTGTTTTTTTAGATTGCTGTTTGGAGATTTAAGATTTTAAGAGGCATCCATCTGCACAGATGATGGAAATTTTTGAATATCTCTAAGGTCCTCTTCAATAAATATCTTAATGTCAACATCCATCCTGAGTATCCAAATAAAAAATCCAGGACCATTTTATTTCTGAAAAGCTTACTGTGTTATTGAATATGTTGCATAGTAATCTCGAGGCAAAATTAACTCCTGAGATTCCCAGGCACCAGTTCATAGTATTAAACTTCATGGTATTTGAGGGGCTGCCACAGAGAGAAGGGGGTCAAGCTATTTTCTAAAGCACCTGTAGGCCAGACAAGGAAGAATGGATGGAAACTGAACAAGGAGAGATTTAACCTGGAAATAAGGAGAAACTTTCTGACAGAACTATCCACCAATAGAACAGAAGTTGCCCTTGGAAGTTGTGGAAGTGTCATCACTTGAGACTTTCAAGAAGAGATTGGACTCCCATCTGTCAGAAGTGGTGTAGGGTCTCCCACTTGGGCAGAGGGGTTGGACTGGATGACCTACAAGGTCCCTACCAACTCTATCTCTTACCTGTTAAACAATGATTTTCCCAGCCAAACCCCCAGGCTTCCATGTAGACCAAGTTCTCTTTGTTATGGGAACCGTCTGCCTCAACTTCACACCTGTTAAAATGTCCTTGAAAAGCTTCCAGACTCCCTCAAGCTTCAGTGGAGCTATAGAAGTTTCGTTTCTCTAGATAACCCCGTTCGTAAGCACCGTCGGAATGGAATGCTTTTAAAAGTGGGGTCTGAAGTTTGGAGAACAGATTCTGAAACGTGGTTAGTGCAAACCTGTCTTGGTCCAAGATCCTTCTTAACGTTGTGGCTTTTTATAGGGCGCCCGGCCTGGAATGGAACCTCAAGTGGCATCTGCAATGGAGTGGATCGTATCGATCGAGGATAATGGCCGGATCCATCATTTGAGTCTCAGGCAGGCGATTCAACAAGGCTATAGTTTCTTTTCCGATGCCAGTGATATCATTATCCAAGTCCCATTTAATGCTAGAGGAGTCGCAGTTTACAAGGTACAAGAAATGAGAAATATATTTGATTGCTTATTGTACCCTAGACTGTTATTAAGTGTTGTACCTTATGATTCTTGACTCTTGACGAACATATCTTTTCTTTTTATGTACACTGAGAGCACATGCACCAAGACAAATTCCTTGGGTGTCCAATCACACCTGGCCAATAAAAGGATTTAAATTCTAAGTTAGAGCTGGGGGGCTAGGATAGTCAATTCTTCAAATTTGGTGTTACTTTTCCAAGACTCAGCTTTGGGGAAGGTGTTTTATTGGTAATGATTGTAGGATTTATCCTTTTTTCTTTTCTTATTTGACCAATATTTTTAGAATCAGCGGCCTCTATTTTGATTGGTTTTTATTTTATTTTTTTGTTTTTTATCCTGCCTGTATTATTTTATAGGTAACTCAAGGTAGCAAACACTACCTAGTATTCCTTCTTGCTATTTTCTCTACAACAACATTCCTGTGAGGTGGGTTGAGCTGAGGGAGAGGGACTGGTCCAAGGTCACCTAGCCAGCATTCATGGCTAAGGTGGGATTAGAACTCATGGCCTCCTAGTGATTGGCCCAAAGTCATCCAACTGACTTTCATGCTTAAGATGGGACTAGAACTTACCATCTCCTGGTTAAGTTCACTCAAAGTCTCTCAGTTGGCTTTCATGGTTAAGGTAGGATTAGAACTCACGGCCTCCTGGTGATTGGCCCAAAGTCACCTAATTGACTTTCATGATTAAGGCAGAACTAGAACTCATGGCCTCCTGGTAAATTCGCTCAGTCACCCAGCTGGCTTTCATGGTTAAGGCAGGACTAGAATTCACGTCCTCCTGGTGATTGGTCCAAAGTCACCCAACTGACTTTCATGCTTAAGGCGGGACTAGAACTCATGTTGAAAGCATGAAACGTGACTATATGTCTTACAGCAAGATGACCACGTGTTGTACACAGTAGCCATCAAGCTAACTTATGGGCCACCTGAGCAGCGCCTGACTCTGGAATCAAGAATGATCTGCGCCCCAGGTGAAAACTTTTGTTTCCAAGATTCTGCTTCTAAATCGGATATGGAGATATTGGCGTCACGGCTGTTCCATCTGTCGTTTTGCCATGTTCTTTGTCATTAGTTGATTCTTTTTATCCTTTCCTTTTATCTTACACACTTTTTTCATGCATGAAGACCCAAGTATTTTTCCTTATCTTCCTTTCTTGATCCAAGTTTTGTTTTCTCATCGGGGAGGAAAGTGGATTAATTGAAGTCTGACAAAGCTGAACTCAGAAAATATACAAAACTTGAATACGATTTGGGACTTAGCATGTTGTGTGTAAATGCAACAATTATGGTTTGTAAATCATGGTTTATGGTACCACATTAGGCCTGAACATAATAATGGGGTTATTAAACTCACCAGATTAACATAATGTGGTTGGTCTGACATCCCATACTTTTTGGAGGAGGTATATTATGCAAGCTTCTAATCAGGATTGAGGTTTTTCTTGAAGAACCTCAACATGCAGAAGACCATTAAAAATTGGAGAATTGGTTTGGAAAATCTTCAATCTTTCCCCTCAACTTTTCAGGCCCAGCAGTCTGTAATTCGACCCACATGATGGTGATTCTCCCAGCTTTCCCAGGAAAATTGACAGCTGTCAGTCTGAATGAGAAGAACATGCTGGTACACCAACTTCAAGCCAATAGCATTGGTGTGGATACCAGAAAAGGAGTAAAGTTGTATATTCCCAAAAGACTTCTGAACACTCGGGTAAGTTACTTGGGTTTGAGGGCATATTTCACGAGACCCAAAAAAATGTTGGGGGTTGTTTGGTGGTTGGGGAATTCTGGGAGTTGAAGTCTACGAGTCTTGAAGTTACCAAGGTTGGAAACCCCTGGTCTTAAAAAGTACAAGAGCTGGCTGGGGAATTCTGGGAATTGAAGTCCACTCCTAAAAGTTCCCAGGGTTGAGAAACTAGAATGTATCACAATAGGATCAGCTGTTGATTAACCATCAGGTCTAACTGCTCCTCTGTCTTAAAAGTTGAAATTCTGATGAAAGCAGTGGAATAATTTTATCTCTGATTTTCCAGGCCTACAGAGATCATGATTGCTCAGGTATTCAGTTGTACGTTGCGTCCTTGACTTTGAATTTTGACTACCGTGGGGAAATAGCCACCATGGTGAGCTATCCAGAATGTCCTTGTGAACAAAATGCACCAATAGGTGAGGATTTTAACATCGCTGCTAAAAAAAATAGATCTTCAAATGTGGCCTGCAAAGATCTAAACATCCTATTGTGGTTATGGGCCAACTTTCTTGAGAAGCCCCAATGCAGAGAATATGCCACTTCCATCTTTCTACTTCAGTTGACAAAATTCACACACCTTTCAGCCTTGTTAGCACATTTTCTGACCAACAAATTGGTATGTGCTTGGGTCTCATGGTGAATTTAGATCCTTTAGCAATTTCCCCCGACTTTTCTCTCCTACAAATGATAAAGCTATAATTTTGGAGCTGCTTTCTCTGTGGAATGGATGTTGGGGTTTTGTATTTAAGCTAACTGAGGATTATCTGTACTAAAATATGTTAAATATGTCATAAGTCTCTCTGGAAGGTCCATTGTAACTTCAAATGGGTCACTAAGTGAGAACTATCTAGTAAAATATGTTCAGTAGATCATAAGTATCACTGGGGAGATCCATTGCAACTTTGAATGGTTGGTAAGTGAGGATTATATGTATCTATTTGTTAAATATGTCATAAGTCTGGAAGGTCCATCGTAACTTCAAATGGTCATTAAGTGGGAACTGTCTGTAGTAAAATATGTTCAATGTGTCATTAGTATTTTTGTGGAATCCATCATAACGTTGAATAGTCACTAAGTGAGGACTATCTGTACTAACATATGCTAAATATGTCATAAGTGTCTCAGGATGGTCCATTGAAATGTTGAATGGTCACCAATGAGAACTAAAAAAGGGCCCAAATCAGACACTGTTGGTGTTCCCTGGTTGGGTCATGAAATGTCTGCAACCAGCCAGCCAACCTCCCCGATGCCACCCTGAGCTACAGATCTTCTCTTCAGTTGAACTCATTGTGGCTTATCGTGGTTGTAACACTTGATACCCGACTTCCTTACAGTCTCCATATGCACTCAAGACGGACACATGGATTTTGAGATAGCGAGCAGCAGTACGAAACCGGACTTAAACCTGGATACCCTCAGGCTTAGAGACCCCACTTGTGGGCCCGTCCCCGGGTCGGCTTCGAAAGACCGAGTCCACTTCCGTGTGCCACTCAACGATTGCGGGACCACGGTGAAGGTGAGTTCCTTCAGGGGAACCTGGTTGGTTCTCCTGCTTCACCAACGCAGGTTCTCCTTGAATTACGACCGCCGTTGAGCCCCAAAGGTTTGTTGCTAAGGGAGACAGCTGTTAAGTGAGTTTTGCCTCATTTTATGACCTTTCTTGCCGCAATCGTTAAGTGAATCACCGCAGTAGTTAAGTTAGTAACATGGTTCTTAAATGAATCTGGCTTTCCTGGTTGATTTGGCTTGTCAGAAGGTGGCAGAAAGGGATCACATGACTCCAGGATATTGCACCCGTCGTAAAAATGAGTTGGCAGGTGTCCCAATTTTGATCACGTGACCACAGGGGTGTTGCAAAGTGGTGCGGTGGCCTAGAGGTGGAGCTCTTGCCTTATAATCAGGAGGCTTGTGAATTCGATCCTAGGTCTAGAGTCAGATATTTCTCTCTCTGGACACAATGGGAATATATCTGCTGAACGAAACTCCTCATTGGTGACAGGAAGGGCATCCGGCCATTAAAACACCCTGCTAGCTCCATTCTGTTGCCCAGATTCCACCCCACAAGGGATTATGGGGTCATTAAAATGACGATGATGACCAACTGGGGTGTTGCAATGGTCGTAAGGATGGAAAAATGGTCATGAGTCACTTTTTTTCAGTGCCTTTGTAACTTCGAAGGCTCGCTGAAGGAATGGTTATCATCTATTTGTACCCTTTTGTGCTTCCAGATTGTTGGTGAGAAGATCGTTTATGAAAATGAAGTGAGTACCTTTTGGCCAGATCAACCTCCACGCTGGATCACCAGAGACAGCGATTTCAGGTGAATCTGGCTTGGCTGTTATGTGGAGCTCAAGATTCTTGATCTCCACGTAAGATCATTTTCTATGGGTATTTGTGCTTTTCCATTCGTGCACAACTCCAGCAAAATTGGGGTTTTTTGCTCGAGAACACTTGGATTGCAATGCTTTTTTTTTTTTTGGAATATGCATTGATGGTAAATGCAATAAAAATGCCGATTTTGCCAATTGGCCCAGCCTCTCTGTTCAGTAACTTTGGAAGCGACGGATAAAATTTGAATTCCGAGGGTGTGACTCCGTGCAAAGTTCATTGTTTCGAAACTTGCGCAGTCAATATTCATAAGAGTTCATGCCATTGACCTAAATGATGTAACATTTATGGAGCTATATAATTCTGGATTGAATGAACATCCCCTTCCCTGCTCTTGGTTGGTTTCATGATTGAAAAAAACCATATAGCAAAAAAGATTTTTTTGAAAAACCCAGCTCCTGCTTAAAAAAAAAAAAAATCATACCTGGATGATTATGTCTCTGCCTTGTATGTGGCGATTTCTGCAATCAATCTTCTGCATTTTCAGTTAGGATGATCATTTAAAGCCGAGCTTTTTGTGCTGTTGTCTAAATTGTGCGTTTGAATGCACGCTAATCTTTTAGACTGTGATTGATAGACGTGGCTGGCTTTTATTTAACCCACTAAGCCGAAATTCACCTTATGACTGAGGGTGATGTGTAAACCCAGTCATGTAAGAAATAGGCTACAGTTCTTTAAATGCAAGAGGGTAAGAATAATAGAATTGAAGCGAGAGAGGTTTTCATTCTTTTTTACTTCTTCTTCCCTCAATTGATTATGAAATGAGATACTGCAGATCTGAGCAGGTGGTTAAGAAGAGATCTTTTGACTTAAAACAACATTAGAAGACCTGAAACTCTGGCTGAATCTTGGCAGGGAAATAAAATCTTTGAATGCAGATGAATTAGGGAAAGAATTCTCCCTTTCCAGCCAGGCACACATACAGCAGGCAGTCCTCGACACAATTGAGCCCCAAATTTACATTGCTAAGTTTTGCCTCATTTTACGACCTTTCTGGCCACAGTTGTTAAGTGAATCACTGCAGTTTGTTAAAGTCAGTAGCATGGATGTGAATCTGGCTTCCTTGTTGACTTTGCTTATCAGAAGGTTGCAAATGACTCTGGGACGATGCAACCGTCATAGGTACATGCCAGTTGCCAAGCATCTGAATTTTGATCACATGACCACAGGGATGCTGCAACGGGCGTTAAGGGTGAAAAACCGTCGTCATTTGCTTTTTTCAGTGCCATTGTAACTTTCAACATCCACTAAATCAAAGGTCTTCAAACTTGGCAAGTTTAAGACTTGTGGACTTCAACTCCCAGAATTCTTCAGCTAACATGGCTGCAGGAGGAATTCTGGGAGTTGAAGTCCACAAGTCTTAAAGCTGTCAAGTTTGAAGACCCCCTGCGCTAAATGTATGGTATGTAAATAGAGGGCTGCCTGTATACATGTATTTAGAAGATGTTTGTGACCCAAAGAACAGCACAGTGCAAATTCTGGTGAACTGCACTTGGAAACACTGAGGTTCGGACAGGTTTTGGTGAAGCCGATGGCACATACATCTTTTGGGATGCTTGTAATGGGATGTGAGAATGACCTTGGGAGACAGGAGGCAGTATTCATAACTATGTTTTTACTTATACCTATTATTTTATAAGCAATTGACAAACCAAATAAAAAAATAAAAATAAAGATGGCCCGGTAGTTAGAATGCAGAATTGCAGGCTAACTCTGCCCACTGCGAGGAGTTTGATCCTGACCGGCTCAAGGTTAACTCAGCCTTCTATCCTTCCAAGGTCAGTAAAATGAGGACCCAAATTGTTGGGGGCAAGAGGCTGTCTCTATAAACAGTGCTGTAGTAGAGCACTATGAAGTGGTACAACTATGGAGATTCTCCGTCGTCCTAACTCATAGTTGTCCCAAAGGTGCTTTTTCCAAGAGGCAACTGGACTTTTTGGTTTTTCTTTGAAGACGTTTCGCTTCTCATCCAGTTCTGAACTGAAGAAGCTTCTTGGATGAGAAGCGAAATATCTTCAAAGAAAAACCAGAAAGTCCAGTTGTCTCTTGAAAAAGCACCTATGAAGCTGTATATAAGTCTAAGTGCTATTGCTATTGCTTGGCAATATTCGATGAGAGGTGTCCAAATCCAAAGCAGGGATGGAGGTGGAAAAAGCATCTTGGAAGGAATAGAATAGAATAGAATAGAATAACAGAGTTGGAAGGGACCTTGGAGGTCTTCTAGTCCAACCCCCTGCCTAGGTTGGAAACCCTACACTAGGATCCTCCCTAGTTCTTTGGGAAGTAAAGGCAAGCGAGGAGAGGCGTGCGTTCAGATTTTCAAGATAACTTCACCATAAAGATAGTGTTAGTGCTCAGGTTTTTGGTTACCTGTCCGGACTACGTCAAAGGGCTGATGTTATTCAACTGTTCTTCCAGGTTGACCGTGGTTTGCTCATACGAGAGTACCGATACTTCCTTGAATGTCAAGATAAACACGCTTCCTCCTCCTGAGCCTGCAATCAACCAGGGTCTACTTTCTCTTCTTCTTCTCATTTATCCAGGTGAGATATTTCAATTCATGGCTAGGTGGTGGGAGATATTTCTTCATTGCAGTTTTGCATCTTATTACTTCCACTATAGGGGTGCGGTGGCTCAGTGGCTAAGATGCTGAGCTTGTCGATCAGGAAGGTCGTCAGTTCGGCGGTTCGAATCCCTTGCGCTGCGTAACGGAGTGAGGTCCCGTTACTTGTCCCAGCTTCTGTCAACCTAGTAGTTTGGAAGCATGTAAAAAATGCAAGTAGAAAAATAAGGACCACTTTGGTGGGAAGGTTACAGCGTTCCGTGCGCCTTTGGCGTTTAGTCCTGCGGGCCACATGACCACGGAGACGTCTTCGGACAGTGCTGGCTCTTCGGCTTTGTAATGGAGACGAGCACTGTCCCCTAGAGCTGGAAACCACTAGCAGGGGAACCTTTCCCTTATTTCCAGTATCTAGAGCAGTGTTTATCAACCTTGGCAACATTAAGAGAAGTGGACTTCAACTCCCAAAATTCCCAGCATGGCTGACTGGGGAATTCTGGGAATTGAAGTCCACACACCTTAAGATTGCTACGGTTAAGAAACACTGATTTTAGAGAACTGGATTCTCAGTTTGTAAAAAATACTTGCCAGAAGTTCCAGCTGATGTAGATCTAATGTATCCATAGTTATCTGGATGAAGCTCTTTAAAAATAACCAAAGAGTTAATTTTACACACTTTGTAATGATTTCTGTAATTTGCATAATGTCATCATTTATAGAAATGACCTAAATTGCTGCAAATGATGTCCTTTTGCTTTTAAAAGACATTGGGAAGAAAGAGGGTGCCCTAATGGCCTATTAAATTGAAGTCTCCTTCGGGTGTGCAGTTAATGCACATAAACATAATTACATGCAGATTGGGGTTTTTTTGCCTTCTGTCTTAATGTGTGCCTTAAAAGGCTGCCAAACCAGAAAGTCATAAGTTTAAAAAGCTAAACTAAAGTAGAGCTGCCCGTATAATATTTTTCCAATTTGGAAACACTAACTTGAAATCCAGTTTTAAACTGCTTAGATATGGAGTCCACAGAGATTGAAGCGGTAGATAAATGGTGTGAAATAAAATTTGAAAAATGTGCTGAGCAGTGGTGGGATTCAATTTTTTTTTTTTACTACCGGTTCTGTGGGCGTGGCTTAGTGGGTGTGGCAGGGAAAGGACACTGTAAAATCCCCATTTCCTCCCCACCCCACTAACCTGCTTTCCAGCTCCATTCTCCTGTGCAGGGCAACCAAAGAAGACCAGCCAATCAGCTGGGACTTGGCAGGCGGAGAGTAGATGGGGGCAGGACCAGTCAGAGGTGGTATTCTGCTACTGGTTCTCCAGAACCGATAAGAACCTGCTGAATACCACCTCTGGTGCTGAGAGAAATGGAGAAAAAAAGAGGATTTTAGAAGCCTCGAACAACTAAATTTCTCAGCACAAGCACTGAGGTTTTTTGGAACTGGGTTAAAGATGCTGGAGTAACAAATGTCAAATGATTTTGGAAGCCAAATCCTGACATGCTTGAATGGGTTGTGTGAATGCCACCAGGGTTGGCAAACGCTAGGCTTTGGGAAGTAGCACCCCCAAATCTGGTTTCTTTTTTTTTGCAGATGAGTCCTACTCAGTTCCTTACACAAATGACCAATATCCACTTGTGAAATATCTGCGACAGCCCATTTTCCTGGAAGTTCAAGTACTTAACCGAAATGACCCAAACATCCATTTAATGCTAGAGCACTGCTGGGCTACCCTATCCTTGGAGCCTTCATCTTTGCCACACTGGAACATTGTGGTTGACGGGTAAGTGGCCTTTATTTTCCTTATTTTTATTCCTTGTACCTATTTGTATCCTGCTTTTATTATTTTTACAAATAACTCATATTTGTAAACATATCCAACACGCTTTCAAAATCTTCCTATTTTCCCCACAACAACAACAACAACAACCACCTTGTGAGATGGTTTGGGCTGAAAGAGAAGGACTGGCCCAAAGTCACCCAGCTGGCTTTCATGGTAAGGCTGGACTAGAACTCACCGTCTCCTGGTAATTGGCCCCAGGTCATCCAACTGGTTTACATGCCTAATGCGGGACTAGAATTCACCATCTTCTGGTGATTGGCCCAAAATCACCCAACTGGTTTCAATGGCTAAGGTGGGACTAGAACTCACTGTCTCCCGCTTTCGAGCTTGGTGCCTTAACCCAGTGGTCCCCAACCTTTTTTATGCCACGGCCCGGTACCGGCATCAGCTGGGCGCCGCCATCTTGTTTTGATGAAAAAGTGCTTCTGGTGAGCTTTTCCGGGTAGAAAGCTCACCGGAAGCACTTTTTCATCAAAACAAGATGGCGGCGCCCAGCAAACCAGCGGCCCGGTAGGATTTGTTCCACAGACCGGTACCGGTCTGCGGACCGGTGGTTGGGGACCCCTGCCTTAACCACTAGACCAAACGTTCATGCTGGAAAAGGTGCAGATACAAAGAGTCTTGAGCCTGTCGCCAAATCAACCAAGATAAAATCCTGACCGAGTTGAACATTCAACCAGGTGTATGTTGTCTAAAGGCAGGCATTACCGTTTCTACCTGATCCACTTGAACCCTAGTATGAATGTAGCTGGGGAAGCATTAAAGTGTGCATTCACACTGAGTGTGTAGCACAAACCTTGTGCAAAACGGTTGCGTGAATTGCAGAACCGTGAATTACACAGCGTTAGTTTGTAATAATACAACCAGTCCCTAAAGACAGGATATTTTATTTTATTTATTATTATTTTTTAATTTTTTAATTTTATTTTTTATTTTTTTATACTTTATATTATATTTTATATTATTTTATGTTTTATATTTTATATTTATTTTTATTTGCAAAAATATACTGCTCTTCTGGTTGCTTCTAAACCATCCCTGCAGGTTTTTCCAAAGAGAGAAGAATGAACATTTGATTAACGCTGATTTGCTTCTTTTCATAGATGTGAATATGAACTCGACAATTACAAAACCATCTTCCATCCAGTCGGCCCGGCGGTCAGTTACGCTAATTTCCGCCAAAGATTTGAAGTGAAGGCATTCGCTTTTGTCTCCAACGGCAAAACTCTGTCCAATCACGTGAGTTTCTGCTGAAAATCCTTGCAAGATTGGTTTTTCTTTTTCCTGCCAGAACTGGAAAATTGCTCCTGTAATTTAACTAGCCCATATGGAGCCCCCAATTATTCTTGCTGTAGGTCCCCAGAATTTTCTCCCTCATTACTAGCAGATTCATTCACATGATGGCTGAAAATTGCTGGTGAAATTTGCTATGCTTTTACTGCAGAAAATTGAACATCAACCTTATCGTTATTCACTTAGTGGCCAAAGTTATAAGGGCGCTTTAAAAAGTGACTTATGGCTGTTTTTCACACTTAAGACCGTTGCAGCATCTCCGTGGTCGTGTGATCAAAATTTGGACACGTGGCAACTGGTTCACAGTTACGACGGTTGCAGACTCCTGGGGTCCTGTGATCCCATTTTGCAACCTTCTGTCAAGCAAAGTCCATGGGGAAAAGCCAGATCCACTTAACAAGCGTGCTAAGAAGGGTTGTAAAATGTGGCAAAACTCACTTACCAGCTACCTCACTTAGGAATGTAATGCTCAGTTGTGGCCATTAAGTCGAGGACTCACTGTGTAGCAGTTAGTGAACAAATTTCAGCTTTCATCTTGAGAGGAAGCTACATAAATTCATTGTAAATGTGGAGTAGCCCGGCTGTGTCTTTTGCCTTTTAGTTGATCCACAGGAGGTTGTAGGCTGACAGCTTTCCTCTCCTCCTAGGTGTATTTTCACTGCAGCGTTATTATCTGTGACAGGCAGCATCCAGATTCTCCGTTGTGTTCTTCTCGATGTCCTCGTCCTTCCAGGAAAAGACGAGGTAGGGTTACGGTCATCCTGAAAGATCTCAGTTGAGATAAAGATTAAAAAAGGGACATGAGAAGAATCAAATGGTACGGCTAAGCTAGTGCGTCCTTTAAATTTGTTTTCTGCATTTAACTCCAACCTGATTTTTATTTTTTAATGTTTCTCAAGCTTTTTAAGATATTCGGACTTCAACTTCCACAATTCCCCAGCCAATTCTGGGAATTGAAATGCATAACATCTTAAAATTGCCAAGGTTGAGTAACACTGTTCTCGGTGGATTAATACCCTAAGCCAGGGATCCCCAACCTTTTCGACGCCGCGGCCCGGTTCCGACATCAGCTGGGCGCCGCGGCCCGGTACCGGCGTCAACTGGGCGCCGCCATCTTTTTATGACGAAAAGACGCTTCCGGTGAACTTTCTACCCGGAAGCGCTTTTTTACCAAAAAAAAAGATGGCGGCGCCCAGCAACCAGCGGCCCGGTAAGGGTTGTTCCGCGGCCCGGTACCGGTCCGCGGACCGGCGGTTGGGGACCCCTGCCCTAAGCCACCCAGATTTACCCTGTGGCCAATGAATCAGACAGACAGACAGACAGATGAGAGCGATGTGAGTGGCCTAGTAGTGAAGACGCTCGCCTCCCAGTCAGGAAGTTTGAGAGTTCAATCCTAGGTAACAGCAGATATTTCTCTCTTGGATGCAGAGAAAAAGAATTTGCTGTGAACTCTTATGTGGTGTCAGGAATGGCATCTGGACAGTAAATGCTCGGTTCCATCCAGGAGCCCTAGCTCTACCCTGAATTAAGGGATTACAGGGTCATAAAAGGGGATAGATAGGTGGGTAGATATGTGGATAGATAGATAAGTAGATGGGTACAGTAGATAGGTAGGTAGGTAGATTAGGTAGGTAGGTAGGTAGGTAGATAGATAGATGACAGAGATGAGAGAGAGAGAGAGATAGGTAGATTAGATAGATACGATAGATAGATAGATAGATAGATAGATAGATAGATAGATGACAGAGATGAGAGAGAGAGAGAGAGATGTAGGTAGATTAGATAGATACGATAGATAGGTAGGCAGGCAGGCAGGCAGGCAAGTACGTACGTATGTACGTACGTACGTACATACATACATACATACATTATATACATTACATACAGATGCCAAATCCTGAAGAATTCTGGGATATGAAGTCCCATTGTACTAAAAGGTAACTTTTTGGGCCGAGTAGTCTTACGGCAATAAACCATAACTTTCTGCCTGCAGAGGAGGCAATGGAAAAGACCGCAATTGTGACTCTGCCGCATGCTGTCATTTTGGTACTGGAGGAGCAGTTTAAGATGCAAGGTACGTCATCCTTAATTATTGTAGCAATCGTGGGAAGAGTCTGTTAAGCTCCCAGGTGCCCCTGGGGCCAAGTTATGCAAATACAGCAGGTGGCGGAAGCCGCCCCTCTATGTTTGAAAGTCGAAAGGCAGAGAAGGATGAACGAGAGATGAATTCCATCGCTTGGAGGCTTTTAAGAAGAGACTGGATGGCCATTTGTCTGAAATGGCTCCTGCCTCGGCAGGGGGGTTGGACTAAATGACCTTATTCACAGGTCTCTTTGCCGTGATGTGAAGCTATTGGTTTTTCTCACCTTTTTAAAAATATTTTTTTGTATCCTTCCCATAGGCCAGCAGAAGCTGAGCATCAAGGTGTGGATTGCCCTTTCTTTGATAACCGTGTTTGCCCTTTTGACTGCCATGGTTGTGGTCCTGGTTTTGTTATTCCGAAGGCGGAAAGGATCTGGCTTGATCAATTGAATAAAAAGATCTCCCGATTACCAGGATGTGTGGGTGACATTATTTCACTAAGCCATAACGTGATGGCTTGCTGGTAACCTTTTTTTGCGCTGTGTGTGAACCCATCCAGTTATGGCTTCCCCTAATCAAGGAACGAAAGAAACCTGGGTTAAGCCTGGGTGAGATCCAGACTGTTGGAAGAAATAGCCTTCTGGGTTCAGTTCCAAGTGGGGAAGAAAGACACCGGAAACATGGTGACTGCTTGGAAAGATGGTTTAATGGTGGACAGGACCACGTACCTTGGAGCTCCTGGGTGAAAAAAAGGGCAGAAATGCTGAAAGTTCCTTGGGTTTTATGCCCTCTTTTGGGATTTGAATTTAAGCTTGTATTCTGATTTGTTGTCAGGATCCCGTGGGGCCATGCAGGGGCAACTCTGTAGGCTGTCCTGAGTCCCAGGCTTGGTTGAGCTTTGCTGGATGATGATGTCATGAAAGGGATTTTGGGCAATTCCTATTATGGCTCTGCCTGGAGTAGATCTTTGTTATGTAAAATAAACTGGCCTAGGCCAGAGTAATGGTCCAAGGTGCAGGGGCTGAGTTTCTGCCTCTCTTGAGTTTCTACTTTTCTTTTTTAGGGGAAATATTCTGCCTTTTTAATATATCCTAAAATATTTTATTTTCCTAGGAGAGGGGTGGGTTTTAACTTCCAACAGTACGGACCAAAATTTGGTGGATTACATGTTAAGACTTTTTCCCCCCTTCTTTGGCAGTCTAATTCCTCTTGTAACGCTCTTAATTCTCTGAGATATATTCCTGCTTAACTATCACTTTGAAATAGCTTCTTCAAAGGGTTTGAGCTCTTTTCCCCACTCCCCTTTTCTGCGTTTGCAAAAAGCAACGGTTTGATCTTGGGCGGAGGAGGGATTGCATAGCCTGTTTGGAAGCTTATGATGAGGGATTGGAGTGATCTTACACCTCGGGGGAATTTTCCAACTCTTGCAGCTTTGTGCTTCTGCATAATTTGGTGGATCATCAGTTGCTTCTCAGCACTCCTGTTTTCTCACACAGCAGGCGAGAATTCCTCCTCGGCAGACAATATGGTTTTTTATGTGACCTTTTCATAAGGAATGTAGGCATTTACTCTTAGGGTCTGGTTGCTAGAAATGCCTCATATCTAAAATACAAAATGATCCCACTTTTCTATATATTTCCATTTTTATTTTTTTTTTGGTAAATTTTATTTGAGTTTTCACAAAAAAATACAAATAAAACATCTTTTTTGAAAGTAGCGTAATCCCGGGTTACATTTCTTCGTACAGACACAAATTCAATTTCATGCTCATTTTTATATTCTATTCCATATCTTATTACTGTTTTACATTTTCTACATAGCTTCTCCCCTCTTTGAATTTTCTCAATTTTATTTTAATTATCTCATCTTAATTCAAATCATTATATTTATACTTTTTGTCTGTCCTGTTTCAATTATCTATTATCTTTTCTCATTAAACAAAATTTCTGTCTGTCACCGAAGGAACTCAAACCGGAAGCCAACTATATATTTCCATCTTGTCTTGTCCTCTGTGGAATGCAGCTCCAGAATCACATGCTTTGCAAGGGAGATCTGACTCATGTCATGTGCAAAATCTGGAACTCATCCTTGTCTTCCACCTAGCCCTTCTATTCAAGGAACATAATGAGAGAATATTTGTAGCTCAGGGTTGACATGAGGACTCCTTGGTGCTATCTGAGCTTGGTGGTTTTCTTGCAGACATTTCATGACCCAACTAGGTAACAACATCAGTGCTAGGAGGGGTTGGTGGAGAATAGGGGAAAGGGAGGAGAGGAGAGGAGGGGAAGGAGAACTGAGGGGTTCTTGATGCTCTCTTGAGGTTGGTGGTTTTCTCGCAGACGTTTAATTACCAAACTAGGCAACACCATCAGCACTACGATGTTACCTAGCTTGGTAATGAAATGTTTGCAAGCTCAAAGAGCACCAAAGTGCTACAAAATAGATTTACCAGATCAATTTCCAGCAAAGGTGATTCTGGATCAAATCTAAACCAATAGAAATTGGATCCAGCAATTTTTGATGACTGTTATTCAGTGAATTGTGGTCATTAAATGAATATAGTTTTCTCCAATGAAAGAAGGAGTCTAGAAGGAGGGTTAAAATAGGTGTGAACTATCCTCTGGTTGTTTTGCCCCCACAGCAATCAATTTCTCTAAAAGAAAGTTAGATTCTCTTTATTCAAGATTTTGGACTGTACAATACAGTTCACGAACACATAAGGTCAAAACTCCAGGTGAAACTAAACCAAAGCACAGAATAAAACAATACAGTATTTGTAATTTAATCAGCATAGGCATGCCCGTATACAATATTAGATGGAGTTAGACTGAATTTAAATGAGAATATCAAGCAAAATCTTGAATGTTTTTGTGGGACTTATCCCAAAATGATTTGTGCCCCACCTCCAATAATAAGGGCAAGGATGTCATTTAAAACGTTTCTTGATGGATCAATTTGGTGTGTTTGGAGAATCTCTATTAAAAAAAAGAAGCATATAGTGTCCACGATGACTTAGTTTGATTTGTTTTATTTCAGTGGATTTCCCCCCACCCCCCAAAAAAATCTGGCCACTTGTGTGGACTTCAATTCCCAGAATTCCTCAGCCAGCATACTTAAAAGTCCACATCTCTTAAAGCTCCTAGGTTTGCAAAACACCGATTTCTTTAATGACCCCACTCCTGCAGGTTAAGCCATAGATCACTTTACATACAAAGGCACCAGTTCTCAAAAATGGTGGATGAACACCGATCATTTCCATTTAATGCCCCCGTAATTCCTTGCGAGGTGGAGTCTGGGCAAGTGAATGGAGCTGAG